CTGGTGGTATCGAATACTTCTTGCCGGTGATCATTGTGTAGCATCTTACCGCTAACGTTGCATGAGTTTAGCGTCAAGTTGTACGCCAGCACCGTAGAAAATGCGACCGTCCAAGATCGTTTCCGGTATATCTTTATATATATATATATATATTTAATGACATTAAAAATTTATACATATATATTTTAAATAATTTAAAATATTTCTATCATATTTATATAAACATGATATATTTTTTTCAAATATGGATATTTTTAACTTGGATATTTGTACATTTATTTTGTAATACGTTAAATATTTCATGGCGTCAACGAATTATGTAACAACGGCCTTGTGTAGGTAGGGACGCATAACGTCAAGGCCGTATACCAGCTGATTTATTGTCGTCCTAAAAGATTGCTTTATATCTTTATAAGAAGTATTTAACGCCTTGTATAAAATAATTTTATGACAAATATTCTATTTCCTCGATTTTTAATTGATTATTAAATGTGGGTCCGTACATCATAGGGATCCATTATTTAGATTATTCGATTATTTCACGTTTTATACGAGGGCTGTCCATAAAGAAACCGAACTTTAAAAAAGCATCTGAATGCGATGGCGTGGGGCTATCCGTCTTGTGCAACTGTGTAATGGGATTTTTTAGCAACTCTCTCACACTACGAGCATGACGCTATCGTTCTTAGTTTACGTTTTATGGTGGTTTGAATGAAGTTGTGTTTGTCGTTCGTGGCCACTTTCTAGACATGGCAATTTTTTTTTTTAATTTTTTTGCGAATTTTGAGAGAGACAGTGAGAAAGAAGAGTAGGGGGCTAAACAACAATCGTCGCGTTTTGCCAAGAACTCATTGATAAGGAACAACGCGTGCATTATCGGGGTGTAGCATCGATGAATTACTGGCTCACGTTTCCGCCCGCTTCTCGACATCATTTCGGATAATTCACAATCCACTTGCGCGAGAATCTCCAATAATTAGCGCACGCTATGCTATAAATATTCTCAGCGACAGATTGCATTAACGGGATATCGTAAAACGCAGCAGGGGAGGCATCATAGTCGAAATTTTAATAACGGTTAATAGCGATTATATCCCGGAGAGCAACGCGCGAACAGGACAGACTCTTATGGGATTAAAACCTCCTGCGTGCGTGAGAGCGCACGAGCGGCCAATTTTTCACTTATCTCGCACATTTCATCTAACGGAGACATAAATCCGATGTTGAGACTCGGCGTCGTTTGTACTGCCGCGTTCCTTTAAGTGGTTCACTTGCGAAATACGGTCGTACCATTTTTTTTTCGTAATACGCGGCCCCATGGACCAGCAGCATCCTTCTTCATTCGCCTCCGCACTTCCGTATTCCGCTTTGCTCGAGCGCGAAAATACGATGATCTCGGGAAATAACATATTTTATTGTGCAATATTGTTAAAAGAAAAATTGATGCGTAATGATAAGTAATGTGACAATATCTTGCTATGACACGCAGATTTAAGGATTCAGTCTACTCTAGCAGTATGAAAAATTGATAATTTATAAGAATTTTTTTTTTTGAAGAGTATTCGAAATTAATCTTTTTAACGCTTCACATATGTTTTTATCGAAGTTTAAACGATACCTCAGTATTTTTAAATCTTGAATTTTTTTTGTTTGATACGGATCTTTACGCGTAGCGTGTTCAAAAATGCATGGTTCGACAGTGTTACATGCTGTTTTTCGTCTGAAATGAAAAAAATCGGTCTAGTTTTATCTCGTAGAAT